CCCTCGGTTGGCCATGTTCGGCTTCATCCCTTGGCCATGTTCACTTCCCTCGGTTGGCCATGTTCGGCTTCATCCCTTGGCCATATTCACTTCCCTCGGTTGGCCATGTTCGGCTTCATCCCTTGGCCATATTCACTTCCCTCGGTTGGCCATGTTCGGCTTCATCCCTTGGCCATGTTCACTTCCCTCGGTTGGCCATGTTCGGCTTCATCCCTTGGCCATATTCACTTCCCTCGGTTGGCCATGTTCGGCTTCATCCCTTGGCCATGTTCACTTCCCTCGGTTGGCCATGTTCGGCTTCATCCCTTGGCCATATTCACTTCCCTCGGTTGGCCATGTTCGGCTTCATCCCTTGGCCATATTCACTTCCCTCGGTTGGCCATGTTCGGCTTCGTCCGTTGGTCATGTTCACTTCCCTCGCTTGGCCATATTCGCCTGTCTTTCTTGACTTTGGCCGCCTCCCTTCCTTGGTCATATTTGCCTCTTCTGCTTGACCGCGGTCGCTTCTCTCCATTGGCCATATTCGCCCCCCCCCCTCCATTGGACACATTTGCTTGGCCATTTTCGCCCCCCCCCCCCCTCTTCGGCTGACCAGATTCGCCTCCCTCGCTTGGCCTCCTTGGGTAAAAGATGTGGGTTAGCACTGAAATGTGTCGTGTCTCGAGGTGGTCCTTATATCCCCTCGGCGGAAGAGCTCTTTGAGATAAGCGTGTCAGAATGGAAATGAGGCTATATATTGCGCCATATATCGCCGCCCATATCAGCGAATGATGCAAATATGTGTCATTTTTGCGTCGCTGGTCTTGGGGTTTTCGGCTTTGTGGCTTAAGACTTGGGAATTCGTGACTCGAGACTCGGGACTCGTGATTTGTAACTTTTGTGACTTGTAACTTTTGACTTACGATTCGGTTCTTGTGACTTCTGACTCGTGACTCGAAACATGGGAGTCGCTGCTGTGGATTTCAGACTAGTGACTCGTGACTTTAGGATTGTGCGTTCATGACTCGTGTCTCATCATTCAGACTCGTGCCTCATCATTCAGACTCGTGCCTCATCATTCAGACTCGTGACTCGTAGCTTGTCACTTTTTGGTTCGTCGGGGCAAGAAAGTCACTCGTGTGGGGAGTGGATGGGATAGGGGGTCGGGATCTTGCATGCCTTGGTATCGCCCCATGTTCTTGCAAGGCGATTGAGCTAAAGCCGGCGCTCTTATACCTTTGTCTGGCTGCACGATATAGAGTATCACTGTCGCGGACTGCTGTAAAGTCGAGAATCCCACTGCAAGACGGGCGCGGGAAGACCTTGTGCGTAAAAGTCGGGCGGTGATTACAGAACAGACTAGTAAATAACACGAACAGAGGATATTGTTGAGAAATTGTCTTGTCGGGATACATAATGTGTGCGTGCATGCGTTTGCCTGTTTATCTTCTCTCTCTGCTGTCTGCCTGTCTGTCTGTCTGTCTGTCTGTCTGTCTGTCTGACTAACTGACTGACTATCTATCTATATACCCTGTCTGCTGTCTGACTAACTGACTGACTATCTATCTATATACCCTGTCTGCTGTCTATCTATCTGTCTCCTCTGCTGTTTGTCTCTCTATCTGTGTCAATCTTCCTGTCTGTGTGCCTCTTTATGCGATTCCGTCCGTCTGTGTAAAGTGTGTATTGATATTACAATTTGCAATGTACGTGTATACAATCCCACGCGTGTCTGTTTCTGCGTGAACTGGTGGAGCCCCTGTTTCTGCGCTTATATTCCCCGCCCGCTTTGCACATGGCAGACAATTACCTCCCACACCGGAAATATTCCTTATCTCATTTTCGGCGGAATTAAATTGATACAACGCGATTTACCTCCTTATCAAGTCCATTTCCCAGTCCCCTGTTATCTTGTCTTCCTCTGTTACCGGTCTTTCGTTGCTGTTGTTATTTTGGTTGTTTTTTTTTTTTTTGTCGTTTAATTATTTCTTTATCTCGTTATCTGTGTGACTCTTTTTTATGATGCAAATGTTATGCGATGGTAATTTAGACTGTGTTAATTGGGATTTTTATCGGATTTGCGTGTTGTGTGTGTGTATGTGTGTGTGTGTGTGTATGTGTGTGTGTGTATGTGTGTGTGTGTATGTGTGTGTGTGTATGTGTGTGTATGTGTATGTGTGTGTGTGTGTGTGTGTGTGTGTGTGTGTGTGTGTGTGTGTGTGTGTGTGTGTGTGTGTGTGTGTGTGTGTGTGTTTGCGCGTGTGTGTTTGCGCGTGTCTGGCTGTCTAAGTCTGTGTCTTTGTATGTGTATGTATGTGTTTGTGTTTGTGTGTGTTTGTTTATGTGTCAGCACGTGTGTGTACCGAGTACATGTTTGTGCATGTGCATTTAATTAAGACTATGACAATATGAACGTAATCGACAGTGTTGCTCCAAGGGACAAACGCCATTGTAGTCGCAATGAAAGACTTTCATGCGTGTCTTTGTAAAAACAACAAAAAAAAAGAAAAAAAAAAGTGATGAAGAGATAAAGAGGTACATGACAGTGCAATTACCCCCCCTCCCTTCCTCCCTCCCTTCTCCCCCCTCTCCCTTGGGAACGGTCTTTATGATGACTGTGTTATCCGGGCAAGCGAGCCTTTGTTATCGCTCTCATTATTTTCTTGTTAACAGAATCATTGTTTCTTTGCAAAGTCATCATTATCACGACAGAATCCTTACCGTATGTCGTTGTCGTCACGACTCTAATTGTTCATGTTGCGCGTCGCCAAAGTCGGTGTCGAAATCATAATCAACATCATTATCATCAGTCATCATAATTATATCATTTCAATTGACGTCATCATCATATCAGATGTCTTTTCGCCAGATCGTGTCTCATCGTTACAGAATATTTTCGCCATAACGCTACAAAAGGGCTGCGAAAAATACCGTAGACAAGGAAAATTCCGTCTGCAGTTGTTTGTCTATGTGAATGGGAAGGAGGAGGAGTAGAAGAAGGAGAAAGAGAAGAAGGAGAAAGAAAAGGAGAAGGAGAAAGAAAAGGAGAAGGAGAAAGAAAAGGAGAAGGAGAAAGAAAAGGAGAAGGAGAAAGAAAAGGAGAAGGAGAAAGAAAAGGAGAAGGAGAAAGAAAAGGAGAAGGAGAAAGAAAAGGAGAAGGAGAAAGAAAAGGAGAAGGAGAAAGAAAAGGAGAAGGAGAAAGAAAAGGAGAAGGAGAAAGAAAAGGAGAAGGAGAAAGAAAAGGAGAAGGAGAAAGAAAAGGAGAAGGAGAAAGAAAAGGAGAAGGAGAAAGAAAAGGAGAAGGAGAAGAAGGAGAAGGAGAAGGAGAAGGAGAAGGAGTAGGACGACGACGAAGAGGGAGGAGAAGGGAAAGAGAAGGAAAGGGGAGAACTGGTAAGAGGAGGAAGAACGGAAGGAAGGGTCAGAGGGAGGGGGGTTGAGGGATGAAAGGGGGGGGGGGTAGGAGGAGGGCTTAAGAAGGGATAGGAAAAGAGAATGAAAAGGGTAAGCCAAGGGAAGAAACGAAGGAAGAGTAGATGGAGGAAGAGAAATGCAAAGGAGAGAACAGAGAGGGTGAGAAAGTAGATGAGAAAAGGAGAGGAAGGAGGATAGAAGAAAGGGAGAGGAAATGTTAAAAGGGAAGAGGAGGAACGAAGAGATCAGAGAGGGGGGGGGAGGGGGAGGAGAAGGGGACGGAAGCAGAGAGAGGGGGTTAGGAGAGGGAGAAGGAGGGGGGGGGCAGCGTCTTGGACTTCCTGTCTCCTCCTCAAGGGATAAGACTTCGAAGATCCTCCGCTCTTGCGTGACCTTTGACCTCATCTTGCGTCGACTTCGGTTAATTCCCTTTGTTGTTTTTTTTCTTTTGTTTTGATCTTTATGGCTGGGGGGCCGGACATTTTGAAGTTGTTTGCTTTATTATATATGCGACATGCGCGCGCGTGCTCACACACACACACACACACAAACACACACACACACACACACACACACACACACACACACACACACACACACACACACACACACACACACACACACACACTCTCACTCTCACTCTCACTCTCACTCTCACTCTCACTCTCTCTCTCTCTCTCTCTCTCTCTCTCTCTCTCTCTCTCTCTCTCTCTCTCTCTCTCTCACAGGAAGGAAGGAAGGAAAGGAGGTGCCTAATGTCTATGTCTGTTTTAACTCCTCCTGCTGCTATTAACAGTACATTACTAATGGCGAAACGTACATCATTATCATTTAAAATGTTGTATAGTTAATATAATTGCTGTAATTGTCATTAATATTGGAAATGATGAAGTTTAGTGTAAATTGTAAATGCAAATCCGATAAACTTTTAGACTATTATTGCTGTAATCACTACCCTTATTACCATTATAATCATTAAGGTGATTATGCAGTTCGAATTGAAGTTATAGCTGTTATAATCCCTTTGTTGAAAACCGCATGAATACGGACGAGCGATTTCACAATGCAAGTGACGTTTTGATAGCTCTAGAATCACGCAGTTCTTTGATATAAAATCGAAACGCCATTTGTTTATCATTTAAAAATTATTCTGGAACAAATTGTGAATAAAACAACGGAAGGAGGAACAAGAAAAAAAAAACACGAATCTGCCGAAAGCCTTTTCACTGTGTTGTTTCTTCAGGGCACGAAAAAGCAATACAGTGAAAGGGCCCCCGGCATAGTTACGTTGTCTGGGCCTTCCCTTCGCTGCTTTAGTTACGCACTTTTCACCTATTCACCGTGCCTTTATCATCGTCTCCATCATTTTAATCATGTTGATCATTCAGCTTTCATTTATTGCTTTCGTGATCATCTTTATCACCGCTCCTACGATCAATCCCCCCCCCCTTCCCGCTCGCCATCCCGCCCGAGCCCCGCGGCGCCAGAGAGCGACTGACGTGACAGCGCTGGAGGGGCGCGGCCGCACTGTCTGGAATGCCGCCCAATCATTGTCTCTATTTTCGGACACTAAATCCTTCCTTTCCCCCCCTTTTCTCCCCAGGCCGCCCCCAACCGCCCCGGCGTGTGTGTCTGATGCCCCCCCGCTCGCGCCCGTCGTGAGGCCGCCCGCAACACCAGCATCTAGACGTCGTCCACGCCCCCACCCCACTGAGTCTGCAGGATGACCAAGTACTTCGATTTCGTGTGGAGGAAGGAGGTGGATCAGAGGCTGCAGGACGGCGCCGTCTTCGACCGCTGGACCGAG